CAAGGCCAAGTTTTTGAGGACGTCATCTCCCCTTATCAAAGTTTCGAGCACTTTAGAGGCTTTTCCTCCTCCGCATGACTAACCGAAATTGTTGGGAAAAATATGGCGCGACTAGTTCTGTCGAATGTACTAATTTCAAAGCCAGCAAATATCAGATATAAAGATTATAGTATTAAGTATTGAATTAATACTTATACTTTAATATTGTCTGTAGTTTATTTTCAAGAAACACTTTTAGTTTTTTTATCGGAGTAGTATTGACGGTGGTCGTAAGAAATGTTGAATTAAAAAAAAATTCAAAAATAAAAGGCAAAGGAAAGACCCTTTGAGCTGAGTATTTTATTTATCGTTCATCTACTGATTGACAACATGTGAGCGTTCAGTCCAAGCACTTTGTATAAGTTGTTACTGTAAAACAAATAGTTAATCCAACAACACTCGACCGAAAACCAAAATGTTGACAATCAAACTATTCTAAATTAAGGTGCTTAGACCCCAAAGGAAAAGCGGTCAACTGTTATTGGCGAGCACTGATTAATTTCCAATTTAGAGGAGTAATCGGGCCACTCGCCGCCTAATCTCGCCGTCGGATCGCTAGACAAGAAATTTTCCATACCGCCTTAGAAACACCTCATGCACCGTCCCGGCATTCACCATTCACCTCTCGACCACGGGAAGACGCGTGGCCGGCTCCGTGTTATCAGAAATCAGAAAATACATATGCTAAAAACAGCCACGCGCGTGAATTGAAAAAAATTATGAGGGGCTGGTATAAGAAACTACAGCAAAAAAAAATTAGCCCCGCTAACTTATCTTAATAATAATAACATCAGCTGTTGATTCGCATTTCGTATAAATCGCATCGAATGTTTTTGGTTTCTTCCCTGCACTGACAAGAACTGCTGGAAATAAAACGTTTGATTATCTAAAGATAAAAATAAGCACAAAATATCTTTATATCTCAATCTTCAAGCTATAAAATTTTAAATAACGATTTCTAAGGTATTTCTCAATAAATAATATTGTAGCTAAGCGAAGTTTCAGAGATAATAATGTTAATAAGATCTATTATAAGCTATTGAGTAAGGGAGCAACTTAACTAATTATTTAAATATATATTTTTATAACATACAAAATACAAATTATAATAAATAAAATGATTTCCTATTTTTATTTTAAAAATTATATGAAACTTACATTTTTTATGGTAACATTTTATTAAAAAAAAAACAATAAAAACCACCAACATTTTTTACTGTGTACTCCTCTATCAATCTTTTTTTAACGCGTCTCTGTGTCTGCCTGGCCCTACAGTTTGGGAGACATAATCGTACGATGCTGATCTGCTTTGTTTATCTACTAATCATTCATTTTTACGGTTTCGTGTATCTTCGATTTGAGTGAAGGCAACCGTTTGTATTACTTAAGGGAAGGGCTAGGCAGCAACCTGTTCATAAGGGAAAACTGATAGCACCGGCGAAAAGATCAATAAATGCCTGGGCAGCATTATTCTATAAACAAAAGTTTTGCTCTTTTTTTGCAGGTAAGACAGTCCATTCTTTTTTGTGGTTCTCCCTCACAATTATCTCTGTCCTTGTCTGTCTGCGGGTGCGTGAGCGGAGCGGAGTGGCTCTCTAATTGGTTGCGAGTGAATCAGACGATGTGATCGCGTGATTTTCTAGCCACCCAGTGCAGCTAAAACTGTTAACTGTTACTGGGAGATAGAGTCCAGGTGCAATTTGTTTGGGTACTCGATTTCTCTGTTGTAACATATTCTATTTTTTTTTTCCTCCACCTTTTGCCCAGACGCCGTCACGCTGACACAGAAACCGAAAAAAAAAAGTTGAAAAAGTGGAAAAATAGCAAATTGTTTAACGCAAAGACGCGCTTCCATCAATTTGAATAAACAATTTGCGCGCATTGTCAAATCGTTTACATAATATTGCCGGGCTTTCGCTCAGACTTTCGTGTGTTTAATTCGATTTAATTTTGTTGCTAACGAGTCCTCAAAAAACAAAAACATTTGCGTAAATCGGTTGGGTTCAAAACCGTTATTTATTAAGGAAAATTACAAAAATTTTTGAAAATCCAAAGAGAAAAAACTAGAAAAAAACCAAACAACTTCTGCGTATCCCAATTCCTATCTACACAATACAAATTGGGCGTATAAAGTTTAAGATTTTGTTTTGCTTTGGTTTGCAATAAAATTATCTGAATCGCGCGGTCGAAAAGCCATAATTATTACTCATTACGTCCACGGTTTTTTTAGTCTATTTTTTGGGTTGTGTCCCACCCTTTTATCTTATCTGAGGACAGATTGTGCGCTGGGATTAAGTATTTCCCACAAAAACGGGAAATAGTGCAGAATAGTGATGGGTCCTCGTAACTTTAAGGCGTCCGAGGTTGATTGGGAACCAACTACCGATGACCTTGTAATTGCCTTTCAATTACCTGACTTTCATTTGCATTTCCTCCGGCACACGCTCCCTACTCCCCAAATCCGCCCCTTCAAGTGATAACCCCGAGATAAGCTCATTAGCATTACCATTTGCTTAACATTGCTTTTTTTCGAACTGACGCATTGTTAGGTGAACTTTGGGCCTCAAAATAAAACGAATCTTCTCGCGCAAACAAAACAATATACTTATTTCATCCAGGTTTTTTAATTTAATTGCGTTCTGAGTGGGCACTTGAGAGTATCATGAGGTATTATATAGTACCCAGGTACTTCATTTACTAATCAGCGAAAACGAATGTCTGTTGCTTAACCGTAATCAACGGAGTATGTTGATTTATAGTGGGAAGAGCCTTTATAGTGGGTGAAATATTTACTTAATTTGTGCCTTGATTGTTCACTGTTTTGTTGCGAACAAGTGTCTCCTGTGGAGTTTCTCCACTAGAGAAACAAACCAACACTGCCAAGAAGAGTTAAAAACAGACTTTAGATAAGGTCTAGACTCTAGAGATATTTATCTTTAGAGGTATCTATAAAAATGCACTTTACAAAATACGTAACAAACAAATAAGCTATAATAAAATTCAACTTTTATTTTTATATTCCTAAATGTGCATTTTATTTTGAACATTTGTATATGAAAATACCTTTTTGTTTCATTATGTTCTGAGCAAAAGAAATCTTAGTCTTAAAAATGATTTTTAATGTGTTCTAAAAGAATCACCAAACCGATATAAATTAATATTTTTTTTTATTCAAATGTTGGTCTTGGATTTATAAAAAAATATATACCACCTAAATTCAACATTAAACTTTTAAGGAAAAATGAAAAAAAGGTCAAAATATCTCAGTTTTCGACCTTTCGTTTCATCACGAGTTTTTTGGTTATTCGGTATAAACTGAATAAACAAACAAATAATGCGTAAACTTGGCCGGGTCACCCCGTTAAGAGGGTCGTCTCGGGGAACGAAGACTGACCCTGACATTGACACAGAGTGTTTGGCAAAACTGCAGTTAGAAATTGAAAAAGCACCCGAAATTGAATTAATTATGGGTCGTTAGACTTGCTGTCACATTAGGCATGCAGACGATTAAACCTATTGTGAGCAATCAAAACAAAGAATAATCGCATCAATTAGCTGGGTTTGAAAACAATCTAGTTAAACTCCTGCCAAAAATCGATGTCAAAAGGTGAGATATGCCCTTGAGTGGCATATATGCACATATATATATAAAAAATATACAAAAGAAGTGCCATCATCTGTTTCGAATACGGTGCCTGCGCAGTAAATCCTGTCGAGAAGAGCCGACCTTCCTACGTCACGAGGCGAGAGTTTCGTAACCACACGAAAAATCAATAATCCTGTGCTGCCACCCAGAAACTTTTGTTTTCATGCGACCTACGCCACCCAGTGGGAAAGTGGGCGAGGATTGCCAGCCAGCAAGCCAGTCAGCCCGCCAGCCAGTCAGACTCACCAGTAGTAGGCTATTTGGTCGCCCAGACCATTCCTAACATTGCGATCCAGGAGGTTGTAGCACAGGTTGGTCGAGGCGCCCTCCATCCACTTGATCGAAATGGGTCCCTTGGAGATGTTAAAGTTGTACTTGAGGAACTTCTCCGGATCGGCGGGCGTTTCCCAATGGAATTGCTTGGCCACACGGGACCAGAACTCAGCGGGATTGTCCAGCGACTCCTGGTAGAACTTCTGGTACTCCTCGAAGCTGGATATGTAGGCATTCTGGCTGATGGCCGGGTTCGGATGGTATATTGATTTTTCCGCTGGCATTTTGTATTTGATTTGTGTGTGTGTGTTTCAGGTATCTCTTTTTTTGTTATTTATCCTTATTCAAGGCTTGGCAGGATAATTATCCTGTTATGTAGTTGTCCCTAGCTTAATGTGTGGTGTGTGATTGTTTTTATTATTTCTGGGGTTGGTTTTCGAACAGCCCGCGCTTCTCGCACCGCACGGAATGAGTTCTTTTTGAGCACTGACCCACGAGTGAGCCACGGCCAAGCTTTTCGCCTCCGTCGGCATAGCTTTTGCATGGCAAAGCTCTGGCGAGCACGCTCTTCAAGTTCAATGAGACATGGGCGGCGCTTTTTGGAGGGCTTATCAGCCTCTGGATCGGGCACTATTTGCAAGGCGCGACTTGGTACATCCTTATCGCCCAAGCACAGCGTAACTTTCCAGTGAGGTAGGTGTGTCTGTCCATCACCCATCAGGTGATGGCTGGATCTGGATGCCATGGCGTGCGCCATTGTCTGTCCCGGCAACAGTGTTGAATGTTATTTTCAAATCCGATCAAGCACGCCGTTCCAAGCTGATCCGATCCGTAATATTATGAAATTGAGTGGTTTTTCTCTCTCTCTCTCTCTCTCTATCTCTCTCTTAGTCTTCGGCAGAGTGATTTCTTATCTTTGAGTGACTCTCAGCACGTTTTCTCTTCAGTGTTTTTTTTTTGTCTTATCACCCAGAAGGTTTCCATGGGGGAGCAGACTGCGTCTGTCACCCGCAGGTCAAGATGCCCAATTTCAAATATAATATTTGGATTTACTGTTGATTCTTATTCGTAACAAATTTCAAGTGCTACAACAACGTGTGTATGGCGATGAGTTTAGTTGGTGATTTTTGGGTATGCGTGTAGTTGATAACAAATGCTAGATCGTTTGTTTTAGGGCTACAGTCAAGGTGGTTGGATGCTGGGTTAGCTGCTGGTCCTAGTGATCGCCACTGCTGCTCACAAAGGTTTTGTACTGTTCCTCGGTCATGAGGGCGTCCAGTTCCTGGGGATTCTTAAGGTCCACCTTGAAGAGCCAGCCTGTAAAAGTGGATTGAATATTGTGATTATGATGATCTGGTTAATGGGTTTCTATATCAGATCTTACCCTTCTCATAGCAGCTGCTGTTCACCAGAGCCGGTGTGTCCTCCACCAGGGCGTTTTTCTCCGTCACCTTGCCGCTGACTGGGGAGTAGACCTCGCTAGCCGCCTTAACACTCTCCAGGGCTCCACATTCGTCATCCTGCTTGAGTTCCGTGCCCGGTTCCGGCAGCTGGGCAAAGACCACATCTCCCAGGGCCTCCTGGGCGTAGCTGGAGATGCCCACGATGGCATTGTTCCCGGACACCAGTTCCACCCACTCGTGTTTGTTTGTGTAGCGACGTTCTGGCGGGGATTACAGTTTGAGATTCGTTGGGTATTGCATAAACCGTGGTGGGATTACCTTTGGCTAGCAGGCTTGTCAGATGGAAGGCGCGCCCGTGGACGGCGGCAAGGGGCGTGGCACTCAGCTGGCGGGCAGCCTGCAGCCCAATCCGTGCGAATTTGGTGATGAAAACCATATTTTTTTCAGTCAAATACAAAGGCAACTGCCGGTGAAGTGATTTTTTTGTCCGCTCCCGGGGGTGTTTCGGTGACAAATGATCGGATTCAAAACACACGCGTTACGTTTAATGCCCGGCTCTCGAGATGAAAGTCGAATATTGCCCGGCTTATCAGAAATCCGACAATATATTGTGAACTTTTGTTGACCCGAAGAAGAACAGCAGCAACTTGAAATTGGGCCTAAAAATTCCATAGCGCCTGTCTATCGATAACAATAGCAGTCTATCGGTGTGTCGCACTACTCTACATTTTAGCGGGTTGTTTAAAAAATTCAAAAATATTTGTTTTCCCTTTGTTAAAATTATTTTGGGTATTTCGAAAGTGAAACCAGCCAAAATCATTTTCAATTACGTAATTGTAAGACATTTCTTTCGCCAAGTTATCTTAAAGTACCAATTTGTTAATCAATTTCCCCTATTGTTAAATTTAAAAAACCTTTATAAAATGAAGAAGGCATCAAAAATTTGTTTTGATGTTCCTCCTGTATTTCTAATCTCTTCCCAATTAAATCGTTGCTGGGGGCCATTTTCCGCTTTAATCGGCGACCCCCGACTTATCAGCTCTGTGAAATATAAACATATAAACAAAATACCATTCAACTGGTAATGAAAATAACTACAACAATTTTATATATTTACAACTGCACACTTATTATGTTATTAACATGCAAATAAATAAAAATACTATGCACAACAATTGTTCATACCGAAAAAAATTTGAACTAGACTTTAGCTGTCACTTGGGGGAATATTTGAGAATTATATTATAGAAGAGGGCTTTTCGGGGGCGCCAAAAGGCTTAGTACTGGCGTGGGCGCAATATGCCATTGGGGCTGGGCTGCGGGGAGTAGTCAGGCTGGGGGAATCCCGCCGTTGCCACCACAATGGTCTCCTGCACCGGAACCTGCGAGGATTGGCGCAATGGGCGACTGTTCTGCGGATTTGGAGCCGGGTACTGCTGGAAGGCGTTGAGGTCTCGGAAGCGGCGATCCATCAGATTGGAGTCCATCGACAAGTGCGCCGCCCGGACAATGGCCTCCTCGTTAACCTCGATCGTCTCTGCCGTAGAACGGGTTTCCGGAATGTAGGCTGCGTTATTATACGCCTGGATCTCCACCCTAACAATATAGATCGGAAATTAGTTTGGTGGGGCTACACACTAATTGATTCTACTCACTTCTCCTCCTCGTATGCGCGAATCGGCGGCCTGGTAGTCAGAATATCATTTGAATCCTTGCGAGGATTAAACAACGTATCCTATGAAAAGGAAGATAAAATTTAATATTTTTTTAACGCATATTCTTAGATTTAAAACAATTAACACACAACAAAAAAAATGTCTTTAAAATTGGTTCGTATGATTAAAAAAAAAAGAAAACAGAAAACGTCTTCATATTTCATTTGTGAGTTATCTGTCAAAAAGACTAAAATAATGTTAAAACCTTAAAAAGAAGCGCTAAAATAAACATTTATTTTTCTTAAGCCACTGCACATTGTACAATTTTTAAATATTTCAGCATTAAAAGAAAATTGTAAACCCCTTTTTTATTGAGAAATTAAAAGACTTTCAATATATACATTGTTTGAAAAAGTTTCCTAATGAAAAATATGGTCAAAATTGTTGCTATTGAATTTATTTCTAATGAAAATGCATCCATTTTTTGCTTAATGTTTGAACTAAAGATTAGTTTTGAGTTTTTTGTTAGTACAACTCAGTTCAATCGAACTGGGCACCCGGTTAGTAATCATTTTCCCCGGTGCTTCGGTAAAACGAACCCGAAATCGCAGGAATCTGCTATCACGCCAAACTGAGGCCATTTACTTATCAGCCGTTACCACCACCATTCCGAGTTATTGGCGACAGAGTGCTAAGTTTAGCCATGTCGTAGTCGCTGCCCGTTTTTCTGCGTTGTTGGAATATTTTCACAGACAGTGGCGGAAATTAATGGAATCGGAGAAGACAACGCCAGCGAGCATAAGTGGGCGATGAGCTCACCCACTGACCCCGAATACGACCACCACTTACCACACTATCCTTATCGGTGGCAATGCGAGCGGCTCTCATCAGCAGATAAATAAGCAGTCCAACGTTGATGAACCACAAAACAAATCCCTTGAAAGAGATGATCATCATCGATATGGCGGCCACTCCACCGGCGATTAGAGTAGCAGCCATGGGATCAATTGGGCCAGCGTTCACGCTATTGGCATTGTACTTGAGAGCCGCATCATTGAAGCGTCCGTAATCGACTCCAAAGATCACTCCGGAGGCAACGTCCATGCAGCAAATGGCGGCCACGAAAAAGGCCCATGTGTAAATGGCTGTAAGGGTTAGCTTTGGGTTATCCTTTTTTACCGCTGAAAAGGATTGAAGATACAAATATTACTCAAGGTATAATCCATCACAGTTGGGATAGTTACATAATAGAATCACTTTAACATGTGATACTTAAATGGGTTTTCTTATTGGTGATACATCAATCAATCTTATAATTAAGTCATTAAAATATTTATTTTTATACCCCTACTATAATTTCAATCTGAAGCTTGCAAACACAGTGAAGGCTCAAAAAAATCTGAATAAGTGCCGGGTCGCCACTTATATGTTGGTCCTTTCAGCCGGATGATGCTGGTGAAGATGCATAAGGTGGTGCAGAAATAATAATAAATAAATTATAATAAGAATCGTGGAGCTTTTCGTTCGCTTGGGCTTAGTATTCAAGTTACCTATATTGTTCCTAAAACAAAAAACATCTTATTAAAAAAAATACGGCCCTAAATGTTTTTGGAACGATGGAGTTGGAAACTATTATTTACAAAATACTCATTTTTCACTAGTTGAATTGGCAACTATTTTTATTTAGATGATACTCGTTCCTCACTGGTTGCCATACGCTAACAAGTCTGAATACATAATTTGACTTTGGGACTTCATCATTTATTACTATTTTGAAAGTCACAAAGGTTTCAATAAAATATTTAGACACAACAATATCATTCCATTTTTTGTCTACATATTTGTTTTTAAATTATCAAACAATTGATAAGGCATTACAAACGTTATGATAAATTGTATACCAACTTAGTAACGAGCTGATTTTCAATTACGTCATAGTTCTCCTACCTAATTTATTAAATACATACATTGTTACAAAACATAAAAAATTTAATAAAAAACCAAGACATTTCTTGGAATAAATTCAAGCAGATTAAGAAAATATATGAACTGGTATGAACGCTTAACTAAAAGCAAAAGTAAATCAACTATTATAGTGGGGAATAACCGTCAATGAAATCATTATAGATACAACACATCATATAAGTTTCAAGCGAACTTATCATTAACTTTTGTTTATTTGGCTTTATTGTGGGCATTTGTGGCATTTTATCATTTGGTTCCGCTGCCTGATAAAAACAAGTTCCTAAATTTCTTCAAGTGAATCATAAAGGTTTCATTATCTTAATTCATATATGCAGTTCATTTCTATTTTCCCACAATACTCACACAAAAGCAGCACGATCGAGACGATGAGCCAGCAGACAGAAACTCCCAGGTATACGGAATCCCAAATCAACATCTGGCTGGGATCGAACACGGTCTTTACTGAATTCAGAATAGTTTGGTCGTAGTTTTGGTAGTCGGCGGGGTCCATCTTGCATCCGCCCTTAAAGTACAGGTCGAAAAAGACTGTCTTTACCATAGTTCCATAATTCAAGACATTTGTAATGTAGAGCACACAGTTGAAGGCGCATATCGCTGTGATGGTCAGGCCCATCCAGATGATTGACTGAGCCTGTGGAAAAAAAGTTATTATTTTCATGGGAGCTATTTTAAAAGACTAGGAGAAAACTAGTTGAGATTTAATAAAACTGACACTAATTGAACTCTTGCCTATAATCGACTTAAAAATTTAAATACAAAAAAAAATGCAAATGACCTAAGGTTGCAGAAATTTGTTCTTTTATGAATGGTATTTAATTTCTTTCTAATGTTGGTCGTTTGTTTTTAAATATTTGTATGGGTAGAAAACCTTAATTAAAATTTTTTAATAAAATTTTTACCCGTTTATGGTTTGTTATAAATTTTTAAGCTTATATACAAATATTAATGATCAATAATAGCATTTGTATTAAATTTTTTTTGTTTGTTAATTGAATAAATTTCTTAAGTAATAAAAGTGTTCATTGGATAAAATCAAACTTGAAACACGAGTTAAAATAGTTTAAATTTTAAAATTATTGAAGTTCGATTGCACTTCCGTTTTTGAATCCTAACAATTTTATAAAACGCAATTATTTAAATTATTATATTTAGAGCATTTGTTTCAGTTGTTTACAAATGTCAATCTAATCGGATTGCTAAAAGTCTTTATTTATCAGGGGGAATCTCCCAAATGAGTCAATGCAGATTATATAACGACTTGCAAACGAACAGATAAAAAAGTGGACTCTGAGATTGCGAATGGACATTCAATTCAAGTAAGTGCCTTCAATGTCAGTTCCAATATCTGCCTATATCTCTTATCAATACACATAGAATGGGGTCGCGGTCGCTTGCTGGTGACTGTGACAGTGACTTACTACTGTTTACTTACCACTCCGAGAATTCCGGCCCAAAGTACGGCCGTTTTGAGGGAGCCAAAGTGCTTGATGCTCGGCGCCGGCGGTGGATACATATTGCAGTGACTGTTGGATCTGCAGGGGTGGTTTTGGTTGCTATATTCTCACGCCTCCGGATGCGGGACTTAAATCGATCTGAATAGTTCGGGTTGAGTGCGCTTTTGCAATTCGCGACGTCCGTTGGCCAACTGAACGATCGGGCCGGACAATTATATTGGCGACGCGTTTTGCAGCTCGTTTATCTGCCGATAACTAAGCGATAATGTCTAAAAAAGCCAATTGACCGGGGCTTTTATTTTTATTTTCCTTCATCGGTTTTTTACTTCGATGCCGTGTCGATATGCGCTCGCTTTTCGTTTCGTTCGTTAACTGAATGTTGGGTTTTCAGCCAAAGCATTTATCGGGCCTTAACTTTCGTTCTGAGTTCGGATGGTAAATATTATATTATCGCTGCTGATAAGGCCATTTGCTTCGGTTGAAATTCTGGCCCAAAATCGAATGGCTAAAATTGGAGAGCTGGAATCTTATCGGACGTCTGTATTAGCACATTAGTGATGTCTTTCCTTATCATTGCGTAAATGCTCGTATTTTAGTGATTACCTCATGGGAAAATTATTTTAATTATTTGTTTGGTTAGCTTACATACATTCAAAGTGCGCGGGTTAAGGGCGACCTCTGGTGGTTGGTAGAGGAACTGAAACGGCATTACATTGCATGACAAACAAGACACGTCATTACTAAAAGAGGACAAATAAGCTAATAGCAAAGTTTTAATAGCACAAATATAAGCCAACAAATATTTAGAATAATTAAAACACTCTATCAAGTCAATGTATAAAAAAAAGCATTTAATTTTCTATAATAATTAGTTTTTCCATCATGCAAGCTGCAACGTCGTCATATCTTTTCGCTGTTTGATCGTGGTAGACCGCCCAGGCAGCCGCCATTTCCGTGACGTGCGAGCGAGATGACTAGCCCATACTTTCCCGCCGTGCCAGGGCAGCGTGCGTGCTAGTGAGCGAGACGACTATCTGCCGTCGACAAGAACCGCTGCAGCAACATACGCATTTTTAACCCTAAAAAATACAGCACCGAGGCTTTAGTACAGTCAAAGTGACGCCGCGACAACCCAGAACAAAATCGAAAATTAAAAACCGGAGGAGATTGTTGTTCCTGGTGTCCAAAGAAAAGGAGAGCGAGTTGTGCTGTGCGTGTGGCTGCCCCCCCCAGATAAAATAAGCAATTAGTGGAGTGTGCAGTGCAAAAGTTCAGCTTGTCGTAATCGCCGATTAATTGAAAAGAAGCGGCTTGCAGTTGCGCGTGTTGCGCCCGCTAAAACCGAAGAACACCATCACTACGGCGTGCTCATCCGGATCCGAAAGCGAAACGCCAACGCCACACGATGAACAATCAACTGAACCCGGCCACCTATCGCAAGTTCAACAATCTGCTCAGTAGCGGAGCGGTCACTGTGACCGGTCCCAGCCAGCCGCGAATCCTCAAGACGACGCGTTTGGTGGTTCCCGGAGGCGGCGGCGGAGGAGGTGGTGCCGTCGGATTGGCCACTGGAGGTGGCTCATCGGGCGGCGGAGTCGCGCAGCAGCAGGCGGTCAGCGATGCGGAGGCGGGAGGCCTGGGCGTCGGTGGCCTGGCCACGCGATGCTACATCTGCGACGACCGCTGCGAGCCGCAGACCTCGCTCACCGATATGTGCACCACCCATACGGCCACCAAGTTCCCCAACAAACTGGCTCAGCTCGTGGGCGAGGGATTCCTCGTGATTGTATGCGGCGAGGATTACGTGTGCTCGCGCTGCACCAATCTGGTTAACTACTACGACCGCCTGGAGAACGATGTGGAGCGCGTGAAGACGAACCTCATCAGTCTGCTGAACAAGAAGTACGCCATTAACGAGGATGTGGGCCTGGAGGGCAGTCCGCCGCTCAAGATGCAGAAAATGGGCACGGGTGCCGCCAATCGTTCGCTGGAGGAGAGTCCCACTGGGGACGTATTGCGACCACGCAAGGTTTTGCAGGGAAATCCAGGTGAGCATTTTGTTGAAACAATTTCCAGGTCATCATTTAAAGCTGTTTCTTTTATTTTGTAGTAGGTACGCCCAAGATCGCCGCAGGAACACCCCAGAGCAGCGTCCAGGGCACACAGACGGTCCAGCGCAAGGCCACCAAGATCTACAAGTGCACCTCGTGCGATTACAAGACCTCGGACATGCGGCTCTTCAACACGCATTATGAGACCTGCAAGCAGCAGACCTTCCAGTGCAAGACCTGCCGCAAGATCTTCCCGCACTTCGGGGCCATGAAGCAGCATATGGTGCGCGACCACAACACTGCCATGGACAACACTTGTGCCATGTGCCACATCAACTTTGTGAACGAGAACAGCCTGCGCAAGCACATGGAGACCAACCACGCCACCAATGTGCTGGTGACCAGCACCACAACCATACCGGCTGCTGCTGCCCCGGTGGCTGCCGCTGCGGCCGCCGCTGCTGCCGCCGCCTCTGAGAATCTGAACGTGGTCGGAGCTTCGCTGTACACATGCAACCATTGTCAGTTCAAGTCCACGGACAAGGGCGTCTTCGATGAGCATATGCGGAAGCACGCCGCCGGCAAGCCCAAGCCTTTTAAGTGCCGTCTGTGCTCACAGCGCTTTGAGACGCGCGAAGCGGCCACCGTGCACGCCAAGCAGCATCAGACCAACTTCTTCAAGTGCGGCACTTGCTCGATGACCTTCCCCAAGCGGGAGCTGCTCGTCAAGCACTTCGAGGTGCATCAGAATCCGACCGCAGCTGCGGTCTCGCCCAAACAGCCGGTCAGCCAGAACTTGAATACCCAGAAACTGCTCCAGGAGACCATTGACGAGGCACTGAGCGACACTGTGCCTGCTTCGGCATCCGCAGCCGCCGCTGTGGTGGCCACCAGCGAGGCGGAGAACAACATCCGCTTCTTCTCGTGCAGCATTTGCTCCCTGACCTTCATCCAGGAACAATACTATACCCATCATATGGAGACCCATAGACGCGACAAGAAGGGAGCTTCGACCGGCGCCACTGCTCTCAATTCGGCAGCCACGGCTTTGCTGAGCGATGAACCCGGTGAGGCAGCCGGAAAAGGTGGAGACGAGGGCGGTGAGCAGAACGCCGAGGCCGACATTGAGAGTCTGTTCGAGAAGCTGCACTCCGACAAGAACGAGAGCGGCGAGGCGCCCAAGGCAGGCACCAAAGCCGGTGGAATGGTCATCACCTCGCAGGAGGGCAGCGGCGGAATCACTTTTAATATAACTATTCCGCAACCGGACGGTGACCAGTCGCAAAAGGATTCTCCCAACGCCACAGCTTCTGTCCCCATTGACATGCCCAATCTGGATCAAGCCGAAGACGAATCCCAGTCGCAGGGCAGCGTTGACGCCAAGGTTGAAAGCGGCGAGGCCTCCACTGCCGAGAGCAAGTCCAATGCCGCTCCCGTTTCCATGCCCAGTTTAGATGATGACAATGAGGCCGCAGCTGCCGAGGCTGAGGTCACAGAGGAAACCAAGGCGACCAGCAAAGCGGGTCTAGAGAAATCCAAGACCAAGGCCGGGGAGAGCACCAAGCCCAAGGAGGCCGCTGCAGAGGAACCACAGCCCTCGGACGAAGGGGAGAAGCGTGAAGCCACGGACACGCCCACAACCGAATCGGAGGCTGCAGCTGCGGCCGCAGAAGGAGCCGAATCTGGCGAAGGCGAAGTGACCGCCGGGACCGGAACTGAGGGCGAGTCTGGCGAAGCTGCCGCCGGCGAGCATGTGGCCATGGAACTGGACGAGGCCATGCAGGCGCAGGTTGATGGGGGCCAAATAAAGTTCATCGTCAACGAGAACGGCCATCTCCTTCAGCTGGACAATCACATCCTGACCGACGCCGAAGGCAACCAGATAATTGTACAGGATCCCGAGCAGATCCAGCAGCTGCTGCAAAGCGTGGGAGTCCTGCAGTCCGAAGGAATGGAGGGCGAAACCCTTCAGATGATGACCGACGGCAGTGGCCAGATGGTCCTTGTCCATGGCGACAACAATGAGCAGCAGCTGATCGATGCCTCGCTCCTCAATTCGGAGGGTCAGTTGATCATCCAGCAGGGCCAGGATGGCGAGGAAGGCGCTCATGTCATCAGCGAGGATGGTACCCGCATCCCAGTGTCCGTATCGTACACGGAAGATGGCCAACCCATCGTCCAGGTTCAGCAGCAGGTCTTGGAGGCCGCCCAGCAGGCGGCAGCCAGCGCTGCCGGCAGTGCCGACGACAAGGAGGCGGCTGCCGCCTCGGCCGGCGAGGAGGTTCAGGTGTCGGAGGCATCCAGCGCCACGGCATCCACCACCGCGGTGGCCACCAGCACGGCCAGCAGCAGCGGCGGAGCCTCCGGCGGCAGTTTCTTCGCTCTGGAGGAGTTTACGGAGACGAAGGCCGACTAGGATTGGCCCTAGGGGCGGGGCCGTGACCACTACACCATACTGGCATGCGAAGAGGACTGGTGAGTTCAAAGGAGCACCGTTCAAAAGAACCAAATTATAACTCCCACATCGCTTGCAGGTTTTAGCTGTGGGCGCGCTCAAAGGTCTCTGGAGGACTTTTGCACACCCACCAACTGCAACCAACATCCGGACACACACACATCCAAAACCGGAGCCCACATTTACAGACAACTGAACACGAAGACAGAGGAACACACAAACCTATTCAATATATATTTACATTTAGCATATGTATTAAACACTCCAGTAAACTAAACAAACGATTTATTATTCACGAACCAGAAGAAGATAAACGTAATTCAATCAATCAAATTGTTCATTCGGTCCGTTTCGCTCTCGGCTGCCAGGGATCTCAAACCAGATCGCTCTGGCTGCCTCTATAAAATCGTGTCTAGGTTTAGCAATAGTTTAGGCAAAAATGCAAGATGAAAGCGAAAAATTGTATAAGCATAGAGTTTATTTGAGATACTTGGAATATGTTTAAAATATGTATTTACACGCCAACACAATACAAAAACAATTACACTAAATAAAATCGATTAAAACACAAAGGAATAGGATTCGATATTGGCTCGATGTTATTCAGAACTGTTGCTGCTTCCTAAGAAACTCGTGACGCCCGTATAAACGCATTGTTAGGTGAATGTTACCCGTAACCCACTTTGATTAGCCCCCAGTTTCAACCCAACACACACACACACATAGCTGCACGCCACAAACACACCCAGAAATATACATATATATATGTCAAGCAACTTGAAATATATTATTGTAAAGTAACGAACATCGATGCCATGTTTCTGTGTTGTTTACTTTGTGTGCGATCTTTGGAATTTGGAATGCATGTAAATCAATTCAGATAAGATAACTTAACATCTTTATACCAATGAATACAGATGACCCATAAGTCAGGCAGTTATCCCAACGTTTACATATTGTCACCATCAATTCTCAGGTCTAGTGGGCCATTGACCTTTAAAAGTAGCTTAGTCAGTTATGAATAGAAAAAATCAATGTTTTGAAAAATGCATATTTAATAGCGAAACTTTCGACTCGTTGCTCGACACCTGTTGGCCATTGATGTATATTTAAATGTTCAGTTAGTTGATTAATAAGATTTAATACTAGCTTGGATACTAAACCCCCAGCGGTGGCATAAAAGCTGTTCAGACTGCCATTAAAGCCTTATGAATGCTCCGTTCCGATCCATAAATCAGCGACTGTTGAGAATCTAAATACAGCAACCGAAATACTGCAACCGGATTGGCACGTGGATGGGGTTTCAGATGAATCGAACGACGAACATGATCAGATAGATCGAACTAATGTTTGTTTGATAGTTTGAGATCCCAACGAAATAGGACATATACAAATCTGCGGTCTTCGCCTGCGGGTTGTCTACCATTTGTCTAATGCATATTTAAGCGCTTAATGGATCTGTTGAGAGGAAGATCGGATAAGCGAAGCCGCTATGAATAATTCATATTCGAAGATGTGTGAATGGAGTATTCTACCAACTGATCGGGGACTTGAGTGCAGCGGTAGCATTCATTCATTTACATGGTGAACTTTTGGAGATGACCGCGGTAATCTCTTAACGATATTTGTGTGTCCCAAGGCCGGAACCAAATTGGGGATTAGTTTGGGGCGAGCATCAATCAGCAACTTGTTTCGGTGACATTAAACGGTGTCAACTCAATTTGGTTTACTAGTCTGGTTACATTTAGGCGGTCTTGAAGAGTCGGTCAATATTATGCAGCGGCCTTAATTAGGCTCCCACATGCAAATGAGCGGTGACAGGTGCAATCTTCTTGTTGATTGCCTCAAAAAGCGAAAGTCGTTCTTAAAGACAAGGCCGTAAGATCGGATCGGATCGGATCGGATCGGTATACTATGACATTTTTATAACAAAGAAGCCAGGCCAAAAGTGAACTGATGAAAGCTGACATTTTAGTGCGGCTAATTTGTGAGTCATTAGCATAGAAAACATGATTTCAACTACTTATGCAGTCAGTAAATCTTAGAATTTATAAGGAACATTCTTAACATATTTCAAAAGCATAGTTGTCAGTCTCTACACTGGAAGAAAAATGGTAAACAAAAAAAGGTAACATCGCCAATATAAAATTGCTAATAAAGATTTGACAAATCTTTCAATATAAAATTTTAAAAGATTTGCATTTTAAAAAGTATACTTTTGGATCTTCAAATCTTCACCCATCTTTAAGTCTAAAATTTATTTAGGAACAAAAAAAAGATTTTTTAACTTGGTAATATTAACATTTTAATATTATTATATATTATTTGTTTAAAATACGTTTTCCGATAATTTTCACTCCTTTTATGTGGCAATCTGAAATTACCATAATTAAAAATTCAATCAAAATGTTTATTCAGTTTTGTTCAGTTTCTCAGTTGCAAAACGTTGTACGAATTTTAATTGTTATTTATTGAATAAACTTCCTTCCTTTGGATAAACTTTCCGGACTTCCAGAACACAGATCAATTAAGTCTAGTACTTTATTAATATTTCTAGAATATTTATTGGCTTGCAATGTATTTTGGCATGGTGTTTTTTTTCTGGCTCTGTTTTGTTATTTCGTATGTCCCATTTGCATGGAGAAACAATAAACATAAATACGAAATAAAAATATTCCCCAACTGTAACGATACTCGGCCAGACAATCGATAGCTTTTTAAGCTTCGAATTATAATTTTTGTTTATATCCGAGCGATTTACCAACGCCTCGACCGACGCTCATCCACCGGCGGATGAGTGCGGATGTACTCCAACTGGCGGATTACGTGCAGCGGAATGGCCGGAATTTGGTCTCCGGTGGGCCGATAGCCATCCGCATCGGCGACGTAGGTGAAGGTGACGGGAATGCCCTCGAGGGACACGAACTGAACCACGCCGACGGCTCCGTTCTCGTTCCCGGCCCCCTTGGTGGTGATGCCATTGGTGGTCTGGAACTCGAAGCTGTAGTGGCCAAACGGATCGGGTGGGGTGTTCCGGTAGTAGATGGTCCTGACCGAGGATGCGGCAATGGCTCCGGTACAGTGATGCACATGGATGAGGGCCAGGAGCAGCACAAACTGATCGGGTATATGCTTGGAGGTTTATTTGGAACAAGTACAATCACACAACATCGCACAAACCTTGCCGAACGACATCATCATTGCCGATTGCCGCCTAATTTCAATTAAATTCCAAATCTTTGTTTTTACGGTGTGGATCTTGAACCTGAAATACTGATACTGAACCTGAATCAAAGTCAGTATCCCAGTTTAAACCGTTATAAAGCGGACAGCTTAATGCGACGCGATCTGCTGCGCTTGAAAGTTAAATTGAAACTGGCCAAAAAAACATTTGACCAGGCCGAAAAGGAAGCTTTCGATTTTGCATAGAGGAAGTTAAAGCTAATCTTTGAGCTCTCTTCAAAGTGTTCTCAGAATATCAGATGAGGAAGCATAACCCGGGAATCAGTGCAACCAAAAAGCAGCCGCAATATAACCGAAAAAAAATACAAGTTTCAAGCCCGGGAATTGATTTATATTGATTTTGTGCTAATGCCGGCTATTATCGCCTGACAATGAAGTTGTTTTGGATGGTTCGGGGTCCATTTGTAGGTGTGCCTGCATATCAAGCCGAAATGAAATCGAAAGGTATGCACAGTGGTTCACATGTGACTGTGAATCACATGTCCAACTTGCGGACATCCCGCCACTGACAAATAGTGCCATTTAGTTATTAATTTATTATAATTAGATTCTATTTTTGGCTGTAAAAGGTCATGGTTGAAATGGAGTCTCAACTAAAAAGCCAATACCAAATATATTAATTTGATTTAATGAGGCGTGCTAAATATGCATATAATACGTCAGTTTTGATTATTCGATTAACTGTTTGCGATTTAAAGCGAAACTGGAAATGCTAAAGGTTTACTGCACCATGATCAATCATGGCTAATTCGGGTTTTTATTCGGTTTGAGTGAGTTATATGTCCAAGCAAATAACTTCTGTTTGTCAAGTGCTCGGAGCTGGTTGTTTGGCTTTATAAAAATACATTCGATTTTTAGTGAAAATATTTTTTTGATTATTTCTTTGTATTTTTAATTCTGGCTTTTATTGTTTTCAAATTTTGTCCCGAATTTTATAAGTGCATCATTCATTTTTGGACAATCCTGGGCATCAGTTCATTTTAGGGGTCTACACAATTCTTCTTAAAAATATGTAAACGTTTAATAGGTGATTTTGTTCCACTGTGTGGAATATGGAGCTAGGCATACATACATAGACCTTGCACAACTTGTATGATTTAACCCCGCAACCCGTTGATTTGCATAGCTCGACTTTACAAGTCGCCGCTCGTCAAGGTGTCGGTCCGAAGAATCAATCAGCCCATCAATCAGAATTCATGTTTGTTTTTGCCTAATGAGATTTGCATTATGTTTGTTTGTCCTAAACACTATTTACTAATTAAGAAACAACGCCTGTGTTTCCGAGGATTTACATAGCAAAAGTGGCACTCGACAAAGAGGAAAGCATGAAGCGAAAATAATCTTCGGCTAATTTTCAGACATAAATCTTCAAGTCAAACTAGTTGAAATCTTTTTTGCGGACAACATTAATTAAGTAACACAAATCGACGCCAAATAGTTTAGCCTTAGAATCGATTGCGAAACGCAAACACGAAAAACGAGAAAATCGAAATCAAAAACAAAATTGAAAACTACAAATGAACTGCCTTTTCCAGTTCTCCTTCTCTGCCAGAAACCATAAACGCTTCGTGTGTGAACTATTAGGTAGTTAGTTGCTGGCGATGACTCTGCTGTTGACCCCTTGGGACGTACAATTTTGAGAACATTAATCTAGGCATATGTAAATATGAGCATAGACAACTCCTTTTCATGCTAAATGTTCTTCAAGAACTACCATAATTTATGCTACAGCGTACACTCTCGCAAATGGAGCGAAAAACAAAAGACTCAGGCAACGAACTGGCTGCGACTCTTTCAAAAATTAAGAATCAGTCTGCTTTTGAACCTGTAAACCTATGGAGCTACAGTTCCATTCATTTTCCACACGGAACTGTCCGTTAATTATGTTTCTTCAGGCCGATTAACAAATCAAAAATCGTTAAAAAGCCTTCTGTTAATCCAAATTTCGATACAGCTTCTTATAATTTGATGGCCTATTTTCTACGATTTTATCGCATTTGCTGTGATTTTTATGATCATGATTTGCATTTGCTTCAAAACAAGAAGAGGCTTTAATATTTTTTATATGTGAATATTTCAGAACATGCTGGGCGCACAAATGCTTCCGTGTTTGGGACCCAGGGTGGTAAATTCTATTAGTAATGGATAAGTGTTAAAAGTATACATTTTTACTTAGTGGTTAGATACTTAACCATACTGTGTTTGTAGTGGTTTGTGTTTATAGTGATTCATTTTCAGCTAAACAAAATATTTTACAAAGCCAAAACAGTTAGAGAAATGCAATAAACCAAAACAAAAAAAAACTAGTATTTTTAATTCGATTGAGTTTATTGCTGTCAGATGACACTAATAAAACCAAAATCGGAACCTCTGCCATCATAAATTGCCAACGTTATTGGCGCCAGATCTTCAAGAACTCGAGCTACTTAGCACTTTTTAATATGAATAGTATGAAATCATAAAATATGAATAAGCAAACATGATAAACGGAAATGAATTATATGACCCGCTATCGAGAGCTAGAATTAGTGGGCAGGGTAAGCCACACCACACACAGCAGCATTTGTTTGCGAGAGGCCACAAAAAAAAGACGGAGCCAATGATTATTGGCATTTGGTTATGCTTATTAGATCTTCGTGGCGTACGTTTTGGCCCGTTGTTTACCACATATAAATTGGAAAAGGCCAGCTGGCCGCACTGGCAGTACGGTGGCTAACTTTGAACCTCGCAGACGTGCCATCTCCGCAGCAAATCGAACCCTTTACATCGGATCGGGAAATATTGATTTGATTACAAAATCAATCGTAAATCTGTTGTGTTTTTTGGTGCCAGTGCGAAAATATAAAAGCGATAGCCGAAAAATATGCGATATTTTGTAAGCATTTTGACCCTGTTCCCATAAAGTGTGCTCCCCACCTGATTTGTGATCTTTGTGGCTGATAAGACCCCTCTTGGTTTCAGCTCATTGGCCTGGTGTTTCTGGCCCTGATTTGGCTGGAAGTGGATGGAGGACTGGTGCGGGTGCGCCGGATCCGAAGATTGGTGGGCGGCGACGAGCGGGATGCCCAGATAACGGACTTCCGGGTCTCGCCAACGGACGACGAGGGCGTGTTCAAGTACGCCTTCAAGACCAGCAACGGCATCGATGTCCAGGCGGCCGGATCGCCCCTGGAAACCATTGGCATCTACAGCTACACCTCGCCCGAGGGCGTGCCCATCGAGACCCGCTACATAGCCGACGAGCTGGGCTTCCATGTGGTCGGTCGACATCTGCCGCAGCCACCGCCCACGCCGGACTATATCCTGCGATCCTTGGAATACATACGCACCCACACTGAGGATGGCAAGCTGAAGAAGCCGCAATTCTTCTGAGCTTCCTGACCCATCCTGATCCCATCCACCATCATGTCCACCATACACATCGATTTGGATGCAAGTGTCCAAGAAGAAGGCTGAACATACCACATAGCATGTACTAATCATAATCATCAACTAACTTGGCATTGTAAGACCCCAGACCTAGACTAAGTTGTTGCTAGATGTTGTAAGCGCTCCGAAATGCGCAAATGTTCTTCGCTCCGCGCCAAAACCTTGGGGCTTTTCTGCTTGGGCTATAAATCAATCCATCCATTGATTCCTTCGCGGCGTGAATTTATGGTCTTTGTGCCCAAAAAGAGCAAACAAAGGCACGCCCAAGCATAAAATCTGTGAAGCTCGGGTGACCCCAACGAATTCTAGCTTGTTATCCCATTAACTGCTAACAGCTTTATTTGTCTGCGAGTCTGATTAAAATTTACGTCTATTCTCAGATATGGAAATTTGAAAACTGGATGGAAATCAGTCGCGGTTCTGTTTGCCAACCTTTCGATGACTTAATAATAAACGGTAAATTCTTTCCGGGTAACAACCCATCTCCAAAAAGCGGCGAAGAGCTTTTGCAAAATTTCGAAACAAGTTCGGCTCGCTCGAATTTAAACACAACCTAACATATTTTTAAAGCGAATTAAACCATGCAAATTGCGAAAACATTTGTTGAACATTTGTGTTTTTTTTCCAGTTGGTAGCCCAAAAGTATAGTTTGTTAAGCATGTGTTTATTTTTCAGGCTGTTAACAAATTTGAATTGATGAACATGACCGTTGGATAAGTATTACGTTATTGCCTAACAACGTATTCGTTTTAATGGGGGAGTGAGTTTTTTTTTTTTTTGTTAACATTGATAGTCATGTTGCAATATACCAAACAATTTAATATAGTTTGCGGAAAATCATTGCAGAATAAATAATAGGATTCGTTAAAAAAAAACAGCTAATAAAACTTGTCTTTAATTAAGAATATTCTTACAAATTTCACATTAGAAAGAAAATCAAATTTAATCGGGAAACATAAAAAAATGATCGTAAACTTTTTTGCCCACTGTATAAACTTCAGAGGGTCGAAAATGTCTCCATCCCTGCGTTGCAAACTTCTGACTAAAATTATAATACCCTCTAGATGTGTATAAACATGGGATAATTTTAGAACTGTTATAAATTAACAACGGGTACTTCCCAAAATACATGTTTCTTAGCATTATAATGTGTTTAATGGATTTAAAAAAAAATAAATTGGTTAATATTTTGTTTTGGTTAAAATTTCTACATTCTTTTCTGAAATATTTAACAGGATTTTGACTCTTAAACAATAAATCCATTTAAAATCAATTTGCATTGTTTTAATATCAGCTAAACATTAATTGTCAAATTATTATTATTGAGTTGTTATCAACAAACAAAAACATGTAATATGAACATAAATAATAATTTAAAATTTTCCCCAATTTCTAAAAATATCTGTGGAATTGTGCGAGGTTCAGTCGTTTAGGAACACCCCAAACAACTTAATATCGATACCGCGTAAAGTGACAGTGACAGTGACAGTGATCAAGTCCATATATAATTTAGGTGCGGTCGGTATACAAAAGTTTCATTTAGTTCTGTGAATCCCAGAAAGAAGGAGCAAAAAAGGAAAATGTCGCTTAAATTCAACGAGGCAATTGAAATGTTGATAGAAAATCTGTCAAAAACTATTAAACCTGAACAGGAAACATATATGCAGGATGCAGCCGAAATATCCGAGAAAATAAATCAGGAACTTATCTACATTAATTCTATTTTCAAGGGTACAGTCACCAAATGGGATCAGACATGTAAGTTAAATTGTTTTTAAAATACTGTTCTACTTTTAAGTTACGGATTTTTATAATTAAGTTCAATAAGGGAAAAAAGATTAATCAGCATAAAAACTCGCATAAAGTACAAAGTCTTGTGTCAGCATCTTTTCAGTTTGTTTACCCTTAAAACTTGTGCAGCATTAACGTACAACATTTTGTTTTTAGATATGTTCGCCTATAAACCATACCCCAAAGCCAGAGTACCGATTTTGTGGGTAGAAATGCCATTTGCGATTGAGCCACAGAATGTTTACGTTCACCGTGATCCTGGATGCCGATTGTTTAACCTTAAGACGACTGTGAATCATCCAGCAGTTGATAATGGATACGTGAACGGCGAAAAGTTGACCAAGCTTTTCTACTTTGATTTGAACAGAGTCGTGGACAGAATGACGAATTTTATTTGTAAAAGCGGAAAAATGTATAATCTACGCACTAACCTATTGCATGATGAATCTTTCATCATCGTTGTCAAGGAATATGGCAGGAATGGATTGGAGGAAAACGAGCTATTGATTTATGAGTTTAAACTCACTCTTAAATTCTCCAACAATTTTTTCCTATACACCTACCGTGTCGATTTCTTTAAACAAGCCGAAAAACTCGAGGTCGAAGCAGTGGAAAAAAAAGTCATCAAATTGTTAACCAATGTAAAAAAATTGTTTCTACAATTACAAGATGAAAATCTAGTTATGCCAGTTACAAATTTTGCAATTGATTCTCTTGATTTTCGTGTAGAACCCAACACCGGGGAATATTTACTTGCGGTGAGTTTTCACAGCTTTATAATCAATTATTACTATAACATTGTTATGAACCATCAGGCACTATCAAACATAATTCCGATCATCCCAAAACGCGGACGTTTCGTATGCATCTTGGGAAAATTGATGCAGTTCAAGGAATCGGACTCCGTTACAATGCCAGAGCTAAAGGCTCTTTTTGGTCTGCCTTGAATATTTGATCGAATTTCAAGAAAGATTTGGATAAAACCACTTGGACGCTGTTTATTCTACAGAAAAGAATAATGAAAAATACTTAAACTCCTTATTGCATGAAAACAACCAGCACGTCATGGTCAAGACAAAGACAACTTTTACATATAAATAATAAAATATTAAGAATTTTGTTATGTCGATAGCACTTTTTGTTTTAATTTTTTGTGGGAACAACAGTCCACCATCCATGAAAAATCCCAACCGTTACGCTTGGATGGGCTCTGTGGGGCGGGACTATAAGCCATTGAAAAACAATGAAAATTTAATTCAAGAATGGGGATTTCCCCTTTTTTTCAGCTGTTCCATAGATTTTATTTTTGAAAGTTTAAATTGTATGGATCAGCTGGCTAACAGCTGACATTTATTTCGTTTGGGGAATCCCCTAAATGAATCACAGTCACATAAAAAAAGGCTTGGAAAGTTCAGTCGTGCCTATTTTTTAGTTTAGTTTTGGACTTCCCCGAGAAAGGACCAAGCAGGCAAATATCTTTACGATGGCGCTCAACTTCAATGAGGCTCTTGAAATGCTTATAGAAAATCTATCTAATAATCCAACACCAGAACATAAAAGTTATGTGCAGGACGCTTCCGACATATCCGAGAAAATATGCCAAGAATTCAACAACATCGACTCTATTTTCAAGGGTACAATCAGCAATTTGGACAAGACATGTAAGTAAGAATTCACAAAATTATATAATAGGCAAAAAAGAAACGAAATAATTTCGAAAACAACCAAATTTATAAAATTTTACCTGATCAGTGATTATGATAAAAAAAAAATGTAAAAACACTATTTATACTAAAATTTAATGAAAAAAAAATTGATTGTGGTAAAAATTGTTAGGAAGCTAGTAACTGCTTCTGAAAAATTATATATTTGTATCTTTTTTGCAGATATGTTTTTCAATATTCCTTTTCCGAAAATGGTAGAGCCGCTCCTTTGGCTTAAAATGCCATTTAAAGTAGAGCCTCAGCGCCTTCATATTCCCGAATACAAGGTCTTTCATCTGAAAACATCTGTGGCACATCCGGCAGTTGTGAATAACTTTGTGAAGGGTGATAAGCTAGCCAAATTGTTCTTTACGGATTTGAGCAAAGCCATTGGCAGAGTTTCTCAGATCGAGTGTAAAAGCGGAAAATCATATAGCATTCGACATGGCATGGATATGGCTAAAAACTTTATAATTAATGCCTATGAAGCTGGTCAGGTCGAAGAGACAATTTCTTATACTTTCAAACTACAATTCAGTTTCTTTGACCATTCTATTTTGTACGCAACCAACAAGAATTTATTCTTCCAAGAAACCAAATCTGATAGACCTAAGAAATTGTCAACCATTCACATGATCGTCCACACATTATTGATACAATTAAAGGTGTATTTATCCTTGTCCATTCAAGTTGGTGCAAACTTATTTGATTCTATCAATTGGAAATTGGTTACCAACGCCGGTGATACATTGCTCGAGGTGAGTCAACGCATTTTACGCAGACTTTGTATGTTTTTTGTTAACATTTAAATAATCTTCAGGTTTTAATGAAGGTTATTTCGATAATGCCAAACCCCGAGCCCGTCAAATCGGTTTACCTGAAGTTATTGCAGCTTAAGCAATTAGATTCAGTCGAAATGCCAGAACTAAAAGCGCTTTTCGGGCTGCATTAAATATCCAAATGAGGACGAATAAATTAAATTAAGAACAAGTATACAAGGATCTTAGACACTTCGAACGTCTACAAAAACAATATATTTTGGTTTATACTTTGCCATGGATTTAAATTGGAATTACTCAGAGTAAATATAAAAATAATATATATTGATTGATTTAATGTTTAACAAAATTTAACTTTGTTTATTTAAAAGGCTTACGAAATCCGTATTTAAATTCCACTACTGCCCATTACATTTTTGTACTTTTTTTCAGCTGAATTAAATAAACTTCATATTTTAATATCAAATTGAGCTTGCCAAATGGAGTTTATGATCATGTTTCTGCAAGGACGTTTTTTATTAACAATAGCTACTGGTAAATAACTATGACTGGCCGCAAGTTTGCACGAGAAGTTGCTGGCAGTGGAGCTGGATTACTGCTGATCCTTTGTCTAAATATGTGTGTGAAACATGTTTAATAGAATCCAACTCTGCGTTCTCTGTCCAATAAATGTTTCTATTTTTTAGTTGAATAAAATAATTTTCATATTTTAATATCAAGTTAAGTCTTGTACAAATTTTATTCTGAACTTGCTAAATTCAATACAAGTTCATGTTCCTGTATCGACGTTCTTTATTAACAATAACTACTGGTAACGTCCCTAAATAACAATGACTGGCCGCCAGTTGGGATGTGGATGTGGTGTTGCTGGCAGTGGAGCTGCTGCTCCGCGGGATTACTGCTGATCCTTCTGAGCGGGCGCCGGGGGATGGGTGCGGATGTACTCCAGGGCGCGCAGGATGTAGGCGGGCACTGGGGGCGGTGTGGGCAGATGGTCACCCACCGGATGGTAGCCCTCCTCGTCGGCCGTGTAGGTCAGCGAGATGTGCTCACCCTCGGGCGACACATAGGCCACGGCACCGCGGACCCCGTTGGGATTACCCGCCTCCTGGAACTGGATGCCATTGCTGGTCTCGTAGGCGTACTGGTAGTTGCCCTCCGCATCGGTGGCATCGTTCTGGAAGCTGCGGATCTGGGCGTCCTTGTTGATATTGTCGGCGCAGGCGCAGCCGATGAGAGCGAGGCAGAACAGCTTTGGGAAAATAATACCATAATTGTGAGTGACCGAGTCCTTTCGGCAAATAATCCCTCAAAACTTACATATTTGTACATCTTGTTGGGAATTGGGGGTTTCTTTGTTTCTTGAGTGCTGGACTGATGCTGTGGTGATGCTGCTTGCAATGCAACTGTTTAATTCGATCAGCTCAAGTGCGTCTTTTATATGGATGAGACTGAGACCCTTGTCTTTAGTGGCAGGCACCTAAACGGGTTTGTTTTTTTTTTTTTTTTTTTTTTTGGAACCCGAGGACCAGAGGTGGCTATAATTGCCAAAAACTTGTCTTATCATACCACCAATAATGGGAACAATAACAACAATGCTCAGCTGAACTAGAGTTAAAATACATGAGTCATGTGCCAACAATTTAAATTGTGTGCTTTAATTCGGTTTCAGTTTCGGTTACGGTTTCGCACGAGACTGCTCATACTGCTCATATCGTTTTTTGGATACCACTAAATGTTGAATTACAAACAAATAAAAATTGCTGTTTAATGCGGTTTCGGCTCATTCACAAACCGCTGGAAATTCCCCCCATCGAGCTGAAGATTTCTGTGTTACAACTTTCAATTGGAACTGGTGAGATGATGCGCCCTGGGCTCGGAGCTTCCAAGTGGCAGGTGGCAGATGGCAGGTGCGGAATGCCTTTTGCCTTTGCCCCTGGAAAGCTGTTGAAATCGGTTCGGAGATGGACAAGGTCACCTGGCAGCATGTCACCCGGAGCGCCGTCGATCGAAGAAGAGCGTCCAGCTAGCCAATGCAATGTGTGATCTTCTGATACCCTACATTTATGACTTTAATTAATTGTTCACTTTGATGTTCGGCGAATTGATTAATTACCTCGAACTAAGCGATAAGTTTGATCATATTTATTTCTGTCTTCACACCGCACATAAGATTTAGCTGAGCAAACATCTTCGAAAATTTGTGTTAATTGTTAAGAATGATTTCGGTCAATAAGGAAGTGAAACTGGACTAGTAATTAAATATAGTTCACATGTATCTTTAGATATTTCTGTTCAAATCATTGCCGAACCAAACATTTCCAGGAAGTTCACCTCATAAAAATCGGTATGTTTTTCGCAACTCAGGTAGAATGAAAGTGAAGATATGGAAACAGATACATACATACATAAATCTATTCGGATAATCCTAAGCTCTTTTCAGTGTGTTTTCCTTCTGGTTGGATGGCTTGCGATTTTCCGTGTTGCAAATTCTTAGAAACTATTTTCAAATTGATAACAATGCTGTCAATCCAGATGAGCAATTTTGGACCAATGAAACTATACCTGGTTACTTTTTTTTTATGTTGTGTGGACCAGTACGGATTCTATACGCAAACCTTGCACTTGACAAATTTAGCTGAGAGTTGACTGTATATGCAAGCCAAACTGCATCCATTAATGGAAACAAGTTGTATCATATTTCAACAAGTCCAATTTGTATTTTAGGAGTTTAAAATAAATAGAAGCATATGCAAATATTGATAAAAAAGTTGTCTTTAAACCGTTATAGAACTGCTGTATAACGCAACGTGATTTTAGGAATGCTTCTATATATATTAGACTTCTAAATTATCTGTGAAGTTGTATATTTTCATTTTGGCAATTTACCAATTCAAATTTTTGTGAATGTTGTCGTTGCCATCAGTTGGATACGTCATGGAATATGTTTAGGGCTTGGATACGGATGGGTCGCTGAACTAGTTTGCTAGATCAGGTGGGGCGGCGATTGATGGGCATTTCATTAGTCGGAGTGCTAAGTGCGTTTAGGCCTAGAAAATTTATTACTGGACAGCAAATTTGTATGCTAATGCGATGAATTGGCTGAGATGTTTGGGGGAATTAAGAATACCTTCATAAGCAAACAGGTTCTCCGCCTGCGCTCATCCCGAGCCAAATGGCCAATGAAACCGAAATTGAAACGTATGATAAATTGGTCTGAATTAAATTTATTCGTGCACGAGTGGCTTTGGCTGCCCCCTTCCAAATGAAATCCAGGTGCGTCTCTGAAGTAACCCTCGCTGGGCGGGTGAATGTCACATGTGCCATTACGATCGAGAAAACCCCAAGCCCCCAAAAGCTAACCAAAACTATTAGCCATTAAGTGCAAAGTCAGATCTTTGATTACCGCTTCCAAGGCAGATGTGGAACCATCAGCAGCAACCGCATGGAATGGGTTCAGATGCTCCATTATACCCTTGCCAAAGGTTGTTAGAATTTTGATCAGTGATTTGTAACGATCTTTTGATGAGATACGTCAACCATAAGCAGTCGATAAAAATGCGATTATCAAGGTTATCAGATTATTCTTGAACCAACTTTTTTTTATCAAATGTCGTCAAGATCATCAGTTCCTAATTAGTAGCAGCTTAGCTTAAAAATATATCGTTTAGTGTTTAATATACCAAAGATGAGTTTAAAAAATATTTTCTTTAAAAATTTGTTTAAAAATGAACGAAAATGTAGTTTTATTTTAATAATGAATAATTCACTCATTGATTTTTATATTTGTATATTATATCAAACTAACAAACCAATGATCACTAATTGTTTGACCCAAATCGGATTATAAAACCAATCAATCATTAAGAAAATTAGTTTCGGTACTATTCTGATGCCGTGGCAAATACCGATTGAAATAAACAAACCGCCTTAAAGGCAATTAAATTAAACTTGGCAAAATGCTGCAGCTATACCAAGCCATCTAGCAAGGGTATCCCGCGTTCCGGTGCCCAAAGCAAAACCTCCTTTCTTGTTTTTTTCTCGGCGGCTGCGCTGAATTTTATTAAATTCGATCGGTATGCTGCTCTTTGACGAAAAAACACACAAGCGTATTAAGTTTGATATTTAGTTTGGAGCGGCTGTTTGGAGTTCAGAGCCAGATTAGAGACGTCAGCAGAGGCGACGCCAACGCCAAAGTCGGCGCAGTGGTTGGCTAGCTATAAAAGCCACCGCCTGCGAAGATCACCCAACCAGTGTGGATTATTCAAGCCCAGAAACCAGCAAGATGTTCAAGCTAGTGAGTAGACAATGTCAGCCGGAAGGATTCAGATTGTGATCGTGATGGTGATCGTGTAACCAATTTCAGTCGCTCTGCCTGTTCGCCGCTTTGATGCTGGCCAATGTCCATGCGGATAACATCAACAAGGATGCCCTGATCACACGCGCAGATATCAATCCTTCCGATGCCGAGGGAAACTACAACTATGCCTTTGAGACCAGCAATGGCATCCAGGCCCAGGAGGCCGGCAATGCCAATGGTGTCACCGGATCTAATAGCTACATCGCCCCCGATGGCACTCCAATCTCGCTGAGCTACGTCGCCGATGAGAACGGCTTCCAGCCCCAGGGCGCCCACCTTCCCACCCCTCCCCCAATCCCAGAGGCCATCCTCCGCGCCCTGGAATACATCGCCGCTCACCCCCAGAAAATTTAAGTCCGGATTTGAATTCCACATCCATTTAAGGCCTAGTCAGTGCTCTCGCGGCTAAAAATGAGTTATAACTAGTTCTAACAAGTCTGTACATAAGTCCACAAAAATATGTTGAAAATCCCATAAAATATACCACAGTCATTTGAACAAAGATCAGTTTGTTTTAATTATGGAATTAGCAAAACAAAACAAAAATGCGCTGTACTAGATTGCAAACTTGAAAGTCCCGCCGTCTTAGCTGAATTCATAATTTCTACCCCCAAGTTGCATACGAATTATATTAAATTGTATGTTTTTGGAGCGTCACACATTCTATCAATTTGGAGTAGGGTTTTATTTAAAGATGTTAATGAAGAAATTTAAAGTCGCCGTCAGATTTTGACAGAATGTGTAGTTTTTTAAAGTCATTTTTCATAGTGTTATTTTCAATGTTTTTATAATGGGTTCATTCATCATACTAATATCTGATTCAGGAACATAAACCATCATGTTTTTAGGTGTTTTTCTAAATTAAATCAATACTTTTTGCATATTAAGTGTGTGTGTTACCAATTTAAGACAAATTAAGCGGTTGTCCAAGATCATTTATCACACTGTGAACCAGACCCAGGAACTGACCATGGCAAAATGAAAAATCCAGCAGAAGCAACGTCAAACGAACATGAGTGCAGACAAATGTGGAAGCCGCAGGGCCATCAACTTACTTGGCTTCTTTTCCCCTGTTGCCTCTGTTCATTTATTTTTAAAAATATATATATTTAAAATATCATTTCCATGTAAATCCGACTGGGGCTGACCTCCAAAAGCGGGCCGACAGTAGAAGACGATGTTGTTGCCAAGAAAGAGTCTAGAAAATGATGCAACAGCCGGCTGGGATTTGGGAAACTGGTTTGCGGGTTATTAACACTTTCGCTGCTTGCTGCTTGGATTCTACTGAAGGAAGATGTAGGTCAACTGCCGGCGATCTTAAGACAAGTTACTTCTTTTGACGGTAACTGAAAATTGTAGGGCTAATTACACTCAAAATTTTATACTCAATCATTAAATATTTTCTGCACTATTAAAAATGATTGAAATTTGTTTGACAGCTTATTGAAAAATATTTTGTTTTAATTGCAAATTATTGTTAATGTATTTTCAAAATATAAAAAAAAATATATGATTTACTCGTAAATTTGTGAACTCAGACAAAAACGTTATTTCTTTTAAACTTGTTACTTGTAAAACATTTCAGAAATTATCTGTATATGAGTTTTAAAAGTTATTTAAGCATTTATATTGTAATGAATTAATTGATATGAGGGGCACCACATTTGATTTGGGTTAATATGGTGGGGTTTCCCAGTATAATATTCATTTATAATGCATATTTTTCTTTGCCAAGTTCGACTGTAAAAAAAAGGTTTTGAAATGCCTACTACATGGTTATCGAAAAGGGTTAAGCAGTGCGCATAACCAGTTTCCCAGTATCCTTCACGACTTCCCCATTAATCGGAGTCGAACAACCTCTCGGCATATGTACATTGTGTATTTATAGCAGAGCCGAGTCCTCTGCCGTGATCACATAATCAAAATCAACATTTAAGTATAAAAACCTGTGCAATCTGTGGAACAATAAATAAGCTCCATTTAGCATTGTATAGACCCTCTAGAGCTTGCTCTCTTTAGCCTCCTTCGCCTTCTGCCGAGAAGCAGCCAGTGCCGCCGGTCCGAAGCGCTGGATAAAGTTGTTGACCGGTGCGATAATGGCCTCCGGATCGTTTATGTGCACATGGTGCGAGCCATTAACCTCCAGGTACTCGAAGTTGGGCTTCTTCTGCAGTACATCCAACACCTCGTCGTAGTACTTCTTGTCCTCGAAATAAGAGGACTGGGCGGCCTTGATGAACAAGTAGGGGCATGTGATGCGATTGGCCATCTCCACGCACAGCTCCTGGGAGCCAATGGCATAGTTGTAGAACTTAAGGCGCCGATCGCGGCAGAAGTAGTACTTGTCTGGGTACTTCTCCGACTTTCCGATGTTGCGGGCCATCAGATGCTTACAGTGCTCCTTGTTCACCGAATGGAAGGTGCCGATATACACCCTTTCGATTAGTTCATCGTAGGAATAGCTCGGCGGCTCGTTTTTGCTTCGATTCCGCTCGTCCTCGCGCAGGAACTCATCCAGTCGGGTCTCCATGGTCCTTATAACGGAGGGATAAGGACGTTGATGTGGTTTCAAAGCATCAATCCCAATTATCATGTCCACCTTGTCCGGAAAGACGGCGGCGAACACAAAGCAAATAATGGACGACATTGAGTGGCCCACCAGGGAAACCTTCTCCCACTTGTACTGTTTCATGATCAGTCGGATCACATATAGATTATCCACGGAGTTGTAGTAGCAGCCGTCGGGCAGGCGAGAGGATAAACCATGACCAGGCAGATCGATCGAGAGGAAAGCGACCTCCGGCGAGAGCAGTGGCATCAGGCGATCGTAGGTGCCTGCGTTATCCTGCCAGCCATGTAGTCCCAAAATGGGTTGGACATTCTGCGGGCCGTACCATTTGCCGGATATATGCCCCCACGGAACAGTAATGCTAATCTCGGCGAACTGAAAATATGGAAAAAAAACAATAATTAGTTTAATGAGATTTGTACCATACGATTTAGTCTTTTTTTATTTTTGTAATTTGGTTCCTCTCTTTATTTATATTTCTCAGATATGTTTATTTAAGTCGGTCGTTCTCATAGTAAATACCATAACTAACAACTGTAAACAAAACTAAGTACTTTTCAATTGTCATTAAATACATCTTAGACAATCAAAAGTGGGTATATACTTTTGTTCTGTTGTTTTTGAAAGCAATCCTGCCAAAAATCAAGCACTCATACATATGTATAAGATACATACTTTACGAGGAAAGGTATACAAGTTTTACTGTTAAAAATATAGATCCTTAGAAATACAATTCGTATTTGTATATTAGCACCTGTTAGATTCCTTTGCAAACTCGATGAAAAAATAGTGTTTAACCAACTGCTAGTTAGTAAAAACTGGAACAGAGTAGTTCAAAGTACACTTACGGGTCTGGTCGGGGCTTCGCCGGTTAAGTCCCCTGCATGTCGATAACGCTGGCCGAGATCGCTGCCGGTGGTGCCACTACAGTTGTCGTCCGAGTCCATTTCTGCCCTCTGAAGTGCCCAAAAACTGAATGAGCTCCAATTCCAAAGTTTAGCTAAATTAGGCGCTTATCAGCAACGACCTGGAGATTAGCAGTGCGATTAGTTAACAAATGCACGAAAACAGACGAAGAAACACATAAAATCCGAAAGTAAACATTAAAGAGAAATCATCAAAAAGTAAAAATATAATATCCAAATCGATCGGCGTCTCATTCAGACTCACCAGACAAAGGTCAAGGTAATCTCCTTGGCGACCGTCGCGAATTATAACTCACGTTTCCTTCTGTCACGGATTTTATTGGCGTGTTTTATTTAAATTTCTGTAATGCCTGATTTAATTTTGCACTTTTCGTTAAATAAATTTCTTAAATTATTAGTTATTCGCACAAAAAACAGGTGAAAACAGAGGGCAAACTAAAAGTAAACACTTATCTACCAGCTGTTCATAAAACTTGAGAATGGGCGGCAACGTTTATGCGTGGTGTATATCACAAAGTTTTCGCTTGTCAGCAACGAGTTTTAAACATTTTATGTAATTTCATTTTAGTATTTATTATTTTACTTACTTATTTTTAATAGTCAGATTGCATACTTTTATAAGTATTAAGAATAAATAAGAATACCTTGAAGATAACTAAACTACTTCTTTTTTTTGTAAAGCTTATAAAGTGTCTACGCATAACCGAAAACTTAGTGTTGAAAAACACACGAAACAAGTTTAAGTTCAGTGTTGTTAGGTGTGGGCAGCCGCCAGCGAATGACAAGATTAAAAACCTTACTAAAACATAGTTTTCTCAGATATTACGTACCAGATCAAAGTTCATCTGGCAAAGCTGCCTCATCGCCATCCATGTGTGGTGAAATCACAGCCAGAACATTAGTCGCACATTAAACGAGATCGACGACGGTGTCGTTACTCAACGAAAATCACATCTTGCCTTGAAATGAAGGTGCCTAAAAGTCTTTGCCTGCTAAAACAGCTGCCGAATGTCCGGAACTGCAGCAGTAGAAGTACAAAACCCCTGAAGATCGTAACCAAACATGTAGGTTACCCAATTATAGTTGTTATTTATTCACTAATCATGACTTTCCCCTTGGCAGTTTGAAGAGATAAGCATACCCGTTCCATGGGGACATATATCGGGCAAATGGTATGGCCCCAAGCACGTGCGACCCATTGTCGGCATGCACGGCTGGCAGGATAATGCCGGGACCTTCGATACATTGGCTCCGCTCCTGCCATCTCATCTCTCCTTCCTGAGCATCGATGCCCCGGGCCACGGACTCTCCTCATGGCTGCCGGCTGGCACCTCGTACCACTCCATCGATCTGGTACTGATCACCCGCCGCCTGATGGACGACTACAACTGGGACAAGATCTCCATTCTGGCGCACTCAATGAGTGCCATCAATGGATTTGTGTTCAGTGCTCTGTTTCCCGACAAAGTGGATCTGTTTGTGGGCCTGGATGTGCTGAAACCGCCCGTCCGGAGTTCCCGCAGCATTGTGGATGCGCTGGCCGAGCGACTGGAGTCCACCTTAAAGCTGGAACGACGCCTTAAGAGCGGCTCCGAGCCGCCCGCCTACGAATGGGACCAATTGGTGACCAGGCTGCACGAGGGTTCCAATAAATCCGTATCGCTGGATGCCTGCAAGTACCTACTGCAGCGGAACTCCAGACCCTCCACGCACGAGCCCCACAAGTATTACTTCTCCCGGGACAACCGACTGAAGTCATCGTTGTTCTACACGCTGCACCAGGAGGTTACAATGGAGATGGCACGCCGGATCAAGTGCCCACATCTTTTCATCAAGGCTCTGCAGGCTCCTTACTACGAACGCAAGGAGTACTTTGATGAAGTTTTGGCAGAATTGCAACATAATCCGCTGTTCGAGTTCCACGAAGTAGACGGAACCCACCATGTCCACCTCAACGAGCCGGAGAAGGTGGCGCCAATTATCAATTCCTTTATCAATAAATACCGGCCCTTATGAGATCGGCTTACCATAGACCTGGACATATAGCTAGTTGAATGTTAGACCTTACGCCTAGTGTTAGATTTTAACCCCTGACGTAGATTGATGATATTGACTGGATATTAGACACAAATCAATCTCAGTAGAAGAAAAAAAACCCAAGCATAGATCATTTGGTTGCTTCTATTTAATTTATTATGTACAATCGATACCGGCAATAACATTAAAGTTAAACACTACATTACAAACTTCAAAATACTTGTTTTGAGTTGTTCTTTTTTTTCTTTTGTGTGGAATTAGCGCCGTAACTAAAACTAGCCAATAAATAGCTAACACAAACGGAGTCCAACTCACAGGAACCATGCGAAACAAACAAGAGTTTTCGAATTCCACACAGTTCCCACGCAGTTTCCTTTTGTAAAGCGGTAAAAAATAGTGTAATAATCATAGGAGTTAAGTATTGAGTCTATGGGCTCGATTTGGAATTATATGTGCACTGCACCGCTCTGAGCCCATAAAGTCAACACTTGAGCCTTGGATGACTGCTAATAGTAGAACATTTTAAAATAAATATTAAGTGGAGATTGTGGTTAGCTAATTTCTAAAAATATTTATCAAACTACATATATATCTTTTTGGGGTTTCTTTTGTAAAATCAGTCGGCGCGAGGAAATATAATATTAAACAATTACAACATTGGGATACCAACTTGGCAAACATGGTGACATTCTCGAATATATGCTTCTTTAGTTGTATATAATTGTATATCAAGCGTAATCAACAATTGCTTCGGTTTCGCATGGAGTTTTGTTGCATATGAGTGTGTTGTGTTGTTCTCAATCAGATTCAAATTGTTATAGAAAAATATACAATATGTGGTAAATAAATATATGTACGACATACATATCTATGCTGCAGGTTTTACAATCTATTGCAGTGGCAAGTTAAGCACTCGCAGCATTTCGTTCATTTACTAAAAAACCGCCAGAGCTCAAATAAGCTATATTGTAGAAATGAAGAAGACAATAATGCGTACTATCATAAATAAATATGGCTGATAAATAAATCAGAAAGTGTATAAGTCAAGGGGTAAATATTGAAGTGAGAAATCAGTCTTTTAGTAAATGAGCGACTTGCGCTTGCTCAAGCTACTCTTGCACATTAAACATTGTAATAAAACAACAAACTAATAACTACGCTATAAATAAATACAATAAATAAGTTTTGTCTTAGAGAAAATGCTTAGCAACATCTAGTGCGGATTTGTTAGTGCTCCTCTCAACTTTCCCCCGTTTTGGTTTGTCTATTTACAATTGTTTCAGGTTTCCGTTTCGTTTTGCCGGCTTTTGTTTGGGCCGTAGCTCAAGCTACTGGCGACGAGTCGCCCTTCATGTCGCGCTCGCGAAAAAAACCCCGCTCCGTTTTGCACTCTCGTATGGTGACGGTCTCCAGGTTGACGGTGACATCGGTGATGACCACGCGGTTGGATATGTTGCACTTGGCCGGCAGCCAGAAGCGCGGGGGAAGAGCGCGCGGTGAAAGGGGAGTGAGTGGCTGTTTCTGGTTAATGGCCAGGTTGTTGCACGGTTTTGGTATGTTGTTGTTCTCAGGAGCAACCTGAGGGGGTTGCGGGTTGGCCTCCTCGCTGACCAGCTCTTCTTCCTCAGCTCCAGATTCAGCGGGCGTTGTGGTTGTGGCTTCAACGGCCAGTGGACTGACCTGCAGCTCGGATTTCAGCGGGGTGGCTGCATCGCTGGCTACCTTCTCCGCCTGCTGCTGATCCTGGGAAGGCTGTTGCTGCTGTTGCACAGGCGCTGGCTGCTGAACCGGCTGCGGCTTCAGCGTGGGGCCATCTGGCGAGGTCTTAATCGTTACGCCAATCTTGCCCGACTCCTTAAGTACCTCGGCCTTGCGCTTGGTACCGATTAGCGGCTGATCCTCGGAGCTGGATGAGTTGGTGTCCGGCTCGGGGACAAATGAGTTGTGCGTGGAGCTACTGTTCGAGGAGGAGCTGTGGTCCATGCGCTGCCGCTTGGACTCGTGGTGGTGGTGATGATGATGGTGGGTCAGTGGCGATTCTGAGCGCCGTCCACTGCTGCGTTCGGACTTGATGTGGTGATGATGGTGGTGGTGATGATGCTGATGGTGCTTCTTCTCCTTCTTGGGCTCCGCATCCTGACCAGCCGCGGAGGTGGTGGCCTGATTGGTATCCACATCGTCGCCGGTGAAGGTGTACTCATCCTCCTCGGATTCCGGCTCCGGATCGGGCTCCTTTTCCTTCTTTTTCAAACCCCGTTTGGAGGGCGTGCCCGAGGATTTGTTGCTCTGCTCGTAGATGTCGATCAGGCGGCGATCTAGGATGTTTACCTCCGGTTCCCAGGTGTTGTAGCGCTGGTTCCAGCCCTTCCATTTTACGCGATACTCCACGGTGCCCTGGAAAATGAACGAAATGGAGGGAGGGAAACATTGCATTTTCTTAGACAACTAATTGATTTTCCATCAACAAAAACACACGCCACACAACACACACACACGCGCACGCACTAGGCACACACACACACACGCACAAACACGCACACATGCAACGTGCAAATGGTGGTTGCTGCAGCAGATGTCCTCTGCCCAAAAAATGACGAAGGACATGTGACCTTGTGGAATATAGATATATCCTGCGTGTGCTGCGCATATTGCGTTCTGCATTTTCTTTGGGGCCCTTCGTTTTTATCGCCTTTTTCGCATTTGTTTACGATTGCTCACCTTTCTAACGCGCTTTTGGATTATTTTCTCGGCCGCGTACACGAGAAAATCGTCCCTATCGTCCGTCGCGTTTTCGCGCACCACCTTCCCCTTTGCGCCCTTGCCACGACCAGTCATTTTTAATTAATTATCGCCGTGGGTTATTTGATTATTCGTATTATTTGCAATTTCCAGATTTACAATTCTGCGTTCGCGTTTTTGTTCTTCTTCAGAGTGACCATGGCAGATCAGAATATTCCACGGACTGTGAGAAATGTACTAAAATATACCATGAAATAGTTAAGTATACCAACAAGAAGCAGGCAGTTATCGGTGTATCGAACCTGGTTGGAAAGGTAGCTTTGACACAAACCTTATGCAAATGTGGTCACACTTTATGCAAATAATTTGAATATGAATAAAATCAAATGGTTCTATTTTGAAAATAAAACGAAAACATTATTTTTGGTCAAAGTAAACCTTTAAAGTGTTGTAAGCAAACAAATTTGTTTTATTTAATGTTATATTTTTTCAATTTTTATTTACTTAGTATTTGTTGAATGTTAATTTGCTATTTAATGCTTAAATGCAACACAGTGATTAGAAATTCATAAAATCGAGGATATTATGTAAAGAATATTTTCACACCAATTATAAGTTTTAAGCTTGCCGCGCTAGGCTAATAAACTAAATAAACAATAGTACTAAAAGTTTTAGCTCATTAAGTACATATTTATTCGACATGTCTAAGTTAAAAGCTCTATTAATTTTATATGGGCAGAAAGTTTTTTTGACCCATATTTACACATATATATACTTTTAGTTAATTTAATTAGCACATGAACCAGTTTAATTCCCCTCTGAACTCTTCAAATGTCAAATCCATAAAGAGTGAGTGCGAGAGAGTGAAAGCACAAGAGCGCAATAAAGCTCGCAAAGGATGTCGAAAGGAAGTGTCGACTGCAGATATTTTTTACCAGTTGTATGTTGGCCGAGGGTTCGCGTGGCGGGGGCGGCAACGACGATGACATTATTTTATTTATGCTGTGATAGTGAAATAACAACAACAACAACACCAAGAACAACAACACCCAGCCCCCTTAAATCAATCGCAATATTTTCGAGGAGAGATGCAAAACCAATAGAACGTCACTAAATTTAACGAAAAAAAGGAAAAAATTGTACCAAAAGCTTTAACTAAAAACAAAAAAACACCAAGCAAGTCTTTGCAAAACGTATAAATAAATAAACCCCTAATTAATAGTGAAACAGCACCAATTAGCGCATAACCTATAAGATACATATTAGTCAATATGTTTAGCTAGTTACAATTTACATAGATAACATTTAATTAGTGGCTTCAAAAAAAACACCAACAACCCACAAAAAGGGGAAAAACCAATACCTAGTTCAATTGTACGGAACGCAAAAACTAACGAATAGAGATTAGAAAAACTGGCCAACTGATAAGGCTGGCGAAAATATTAAGCTTATAGCGAATAGGAAATAATAATAGCAACGGCCCACCCACCCGCGCCGAAAGCCCCGAAAAGCGAATTCATTCAGAAAACGTGCCACACAACCGGACGGCAGCGACGTCGACCGCGGCAGCGACGGACAACGGTAAATGTCAAAGTCATAAAGAGAAAGCAGAGAAATGCCGCTGAGAGAAAGCTCAATGCAAATGTCAAAATTGTAAGGAAAGAAGAAGTTACGCTCGAAATAAAGTTTTAACGCGAGCTTTTACGTAAAACAACGCAAAGTGTCAAAATCATAAAGAGAAAAAAAGTACCGCAAAGAGAAAGCCTAAACAGTAAAACACAAAGTGGAGCAGACAGAATAAGAAGAAATCCTCCGGTTAAATAATTTACTTGAGGTTTTGCTTAAGGAGTAAAAATTATTGGGCAAATCTAAAGTAACGCTGAGAATCCCGCTTAAACTTTAAGGCAAGCTCTACAAATATTTAATATTAATAAAACTATTCTATTAAATCTAATAATAAAAACGATCTATCGGCTAACTGTCAAAATCCAAAAAAGTGAAGGGAAAGAAACAACCGCAACCAATCAAAAGCTGTGGATATAATCATCAGGATAAAAGCAAAGCCATAGCTTTTGAGAAGAAAAGCCCACAATAATTTGTCATAACTTCTTTAAATTTCAAGAGACCCAAGAAATGTAAATGTAAATGAAAGTAAAAACCCAGTAGAACACTGTAGAACCAGACCAATGTGGAAGCATTAAGAGAAAGCTCAGGATAAAAGCTCAAGCTAAGCTTTTGGCCGAGACACAAGCCAATAATTGCAGACCAATGGCCACCACAGCGGTGGGAGTGGGAGGAGGGGGAGGGCAAGGAGGAGCTCCAGCAGGAGCAGCGCATCCTGACGACGCCAGTAGTATGAGCGACGACGTCTTCGAGGATGCGGAGACCACTCAGGCGAGGATCGAGGAGCTGCGTCGCCGACCCTTCGGCGATGGCTGTTACAATCCCCCCGCAGCGCCCGCCTCTGTCTCGGCATCGATTACAACGACAACGACGCAGCAGCAACAGCAGCAGCACCACCACCATCACAATCCGCACCACCATCATCACAGCCAGCTGAGCTTAACCGGAAGCCATCACTACCACGACGATGCAATCATGGCGCCCGTTCAGCGCTCTGCCACCGGATATCCGGGCTATCGACCTTCCCGCGAGGCTATGCAGATGTATGCGTACGGGAACGAGGACTACGAGGATGACTACAGCGATGGCTGGCGATCGTATCGCTACGATGAGGTGGACATGCACACAGCCCCGTCCACCGCCCACCAGCAGCCCTTCGACGACACGGTCAACCACAAAACGATCCTGCTCGGCGACTCGGGAGTGGGCAAGACATCCTTCCTGGTCAAATACAACACGGGCGAGTTCCGGCTGGGTTCCTTCTCCGCCACAGTGGGCATCGCGTTAACGGTGAGTCTTTTGAAACAGTACAACACCTACAAGTCCAAGGTTCCCCCATCCTACTCTTCTGTAACTCGAACCAAGCTAAAAATGTCAATTAAACTTTCAAGTAAAACATTAAAGTAGAGTTTTGATACCCTTTCAGAGGGTACTTCAGTCAAAGTTTGCAACGCAATAAAGGATTCCTTACCGACCCTAAAGAGTATATATACTCCTAAGCAGCATCACAGTCAATCTAGCCATGTCCGTCTGTCCGTCCTTTTATACGCAAACCTTCCCAATAATATGTTTATATTTGTTTTTAAAGTTAAAAAAAAAGTTAAATTTAGGCCTTACATAATTTCAGTTAACAAATAACAAAATAGAAAAAAGTTAAATATAAAAAGTAATTAATTTTCATATAATGACAGCTTGTGGCTCGAGTTACAAAAGTACGGGGTAGATTCTCAAATTCCGGAACTCTCGTAGCCTAAGACTAACAATTGTGGGCGAATCCGTAGCGCTGCCTGCTGCATGAAACCCGCACAGTAGACTGGCCCCGCCCCCTGCGACCCCCGCCCACATATTGACGCACATTCGAATGGGTTCGCTTATGTAGTACGAGTATGTCTGTGTGCCTTAGCTTGCTGTGTGTGTAATTGGGGAACAGCTGCCCAGTACCGTTTGGTAATACAAGTCTTTGCTTCCACACTGAGAGAAATTGGCAACTCAATTTGCAATTTAAATAAGCCCCCTATTTAAATTAAAGGTTTAAAAAGGTTTAAAATATTTTATTTTCAACAATTGCTCTTAAAAAAATATATATTTAATTTATTTTGCATGGTAGCTTCAAGAAAAATACCTTACGAAGTGAAGAAGTCTTTATTTTCGAAAGGTTCTTGATTAAAATGATTATAGGTCATATATTTGTGCGTACATTTCCTAAAATGTTGTAATAACAAAAAATTTGGAAATATTTATTTCATCAGTCAACGAATCTGCTTACTTGTATCTTTTATAAAAATGATAAAAACCTTAACCTACAGTAGCGGCAAAAAAAAAGCTTTTCAATATCTTTTTTGCCGTGCACCTTTTTACTTTGCTCAATTGCCAACATATTGTTGGGGTAATCGCCGGAGATTTTCTATTTTTGGCGGCATGTTAAAGTCTGCCAAATTGATTTTTTTCTCGCTGGATATATATAAATCGCAGCGTTCGACCTTTTACACGTTGCTGACACTGATGGCTGGCTGGAAATGACAGTGTGTGCAGCTTTCCCTCACACACACACACGCGACCTGTTGCTGCCTTTCACTTTCACTCACCACATTTTCTCGCAGACTGTGTTACAGACTCACACACAGACACAGACACAGATTGAATGCCACCGCAATGGCCGCCAGTGAAGTTCAAGTGCAACGGTTTTCATTTGCCTTGGAAGCTGCTGCTCCATTTTCCTCATTGCAAAATGTGGCGCGTGCTCAACTCCGGAGAACAACCATGTGCAATAGGGTGGATCAACAATAAATGTAAAAAGATATATAATGGAAATAAATAAGTTTTATTCCAGTTAATTTTCTTCCCAATAGTTGGTGTGCTTTTTGTTTTTCTAATTTGAATTTAGGTAGCTCTGAAGTTCTTTAAATTTTAAAAATGGTTTAAATAAAAAGTTTTTAAAGATAAACCAACAAATGGATATATATCATAAATTTATAGAATTTTCCTGTTGATTTAAAGGTATATTTTTAATTTTATATGTCGTTTCATATAGTTTTGATAAAAATTGGTAAGACCATAATCGAAGTCTGTATCTTTTGAACCAGACAAGATATTCATCTGAAATTTGGGATGGAAATCAGGGTGTATTTGGGCAAGAAATCAGTGAACCCTGACAAACAGACACCTGAGTCCTGACACCCCGATCCCCACCCCTCCGCGCCAATTTCCACGTTTCTAGGCCAGGGCTGCTGCTGCTGTTTCAAAGCCAAAGCCAAAGCCAAAGCCAAAAAACCGAAGCCACACGAGAGCTGGAACTCGAACTCAAATCGAAGCGAAGCGAAGCCGAAGGACTCGGCTGCTGCGGGTGATATGGGAGTGATGCGAGTTATCCTGGGCCAGCCGCCAGTCAGTCTAGCTGTGGGTCTGAACACTGACGCCTCGATAGCCATCGGACGCGCACCGTTTGTAGCATTTTTGAATTTCCCAGCCAGGTGGAAAACTGTGACAGCTGCTCCAGCCAAAAATATACAATCTACGCGAAACTGCGAGTCAAGTAAAGTGAAGTGATGTTTTGTGTTTGACTTTTCCAAATTTAACAATTTTGA